GCTCAGTGGTAGAGCGCTTGCCTTGCATGCATGAGGCCCTGGGTTCAATTCCTCAGCACCACATAAGCAGAAAAAAAAAAAGCTGGAAGTGGTGCTGTGGCTCAAGTTGTAGAGCTCTAGCCTTGAGCTGAAGAGCTGAGGAACAGTGCCCACGACTGGACCTCCCCTCCCCCCCAAAAAATAAATAAAATAAAATGCACTGGGGATATGACAAATCATACAGTATTCCAGATGTTCACATATAGCAAGACCAAAAGAGATTACTCTTAGGAAAGAATCGCAAGGGTGAAATGCCTAAGCACCTCTTCATATTTATATAAAATAATATATATATATATATTTAAATGAGCTACAAGATATGGAAAAAAGACTTTTTTTTAGTTTTTGATGTATCTGTCTTCTTTACCTTATATATGGTGTATTCACATGTATATCTTCAGGGTGGAGGGCACAGAACTCAAGGGAAAAAGGGGTTAAAACATGCACCATGGAGCTCACTGGACATTGATGAAAATGAACTATGCAACTCATAGTGGAGACAGTAGGGGGGGACTGGGAGAGAGCAAGGGAAAAGATGGCACTGTACAAAAGGAAATTTACTCATTACTTGACTCATATAATTGTAATCCTTCTGTACATCACCACTATAATAAAAAGTGAATTTTAAAAAATTAAAATAGGACTAGGGGTGAGTCAATAGGGCAGCTGAGGAATTGATATGGACCTGAAGTTTGCTGGGTACCTCCTTCTCCTATATTCCTTAGCCTGCAGACTGAAGGCCCACATCAAAGGGCATTCAGGGGGCACACAGACCGTGCTTACCTTCCTAGCCTGATGGCCATGAGTCCTGCAAGCAGTGCTCCGAAGAGGCCCCCCAGAGGGTATAGAGACACGATCAGAGACCATACAAGTAGAATCAGGTGGTCAGGCTGTGGTTTGCCACTTCTTGCTTGCCAGGTTTCATTGATGAATTCCTGAATGTACTACGGATAGAGAGGCCAGTTAACTCTCCTGGGGATGGGAAAGGGGAATAGTCTTATGTAAGAGGAATGGTACTGGACAAGATAGGCCTTCTTCTCACAGATGAGGAAGTGTGGTAAGACTGTACTGCTATTATGGACTGAAGTTCTCAGAAGTAAAGAGCTGTAGTAAAGATCCTTCAGACTACTTAACATTGGCTAACTGCAACATCCTTATTATGGAGGGATGGAATTTTCTAGGCCAATTGCCCAAATTATCTTAGGCTATCCTTAGCCTCTTTGAAGGGTCACTTATTGTTGTCTCTACATCTGATCTAACGTCCTTTTGGTTGCCATAAAACAATTGGGATGCATCAGTAATCCTGATATATCTCAAGCCTCCACTAATTTGAAAGGTAAGAATGCCATAAAGATAACATCTACATCCAATAGGTTTTCTTGATTTGCCATAGCTCGCCTATCTGATGGCCCCCATCACATTCTTTTCTGTGACTATAAAAATTTGTGTAAGCTTTTTTTGTAAAACACGTCATTAGGTACTCATTATTATGCTCATTGTGAAAGACTGGGGATTAGGCTCTGAGAGGTAAATGACTTGCCCAGGGTCTTAGGGACAGGGTCAGGCTCCATGGAGTCCCACCTTTCAGAGCTATTATTTCAGTTCCATGAATGAAAATAAATAGTTTGGAAAGACTGCACAGGAAAGCCCTTAAAGAAGAATTGCCAGTTTTGGGCTTTCCAAAAGGATGTGGCTAGTGGGCAGTGGAGAGTTCAATGTTGGACTAGCTCTCTTCTGTCTTAACCAGCTCAGGGTGAATCTGGTGATGATTGCCCTTTTGCCCAATGAGTGGAGAAAAGGCTGGATTAGAAGCAAAAGAGCCATAGCTCTGTTCTAGGGCCTGATTCCTATAGGTCTTCCCACTTATACTGTATGGAGCCCCTCATGGTTCCTAGCAATGTGGTCAAACAGCCTTCTAATGTAAGCAATTTAGAGGTGAACTTCTTTCACTGGGACGGAAAGATTCATCTTTCCCACAGAAACTAGGTAAACATGGAATGGGCCAGCCCAGTGTCAGGTACCGAGAACTCAAAAAAATGATTCAGACATAGAGCAGGAAAAATGACATAGGAACAAAATGGCCAATACTTCCTCTCACTGGAAAAGGGATTGGAAAAACAACTGTGTTTCTCTGTGTTTTGGGGGATGAAATCTAAGTTGTTTTGTTTTCTAGGTTAAAAAGATGAAGGCAGGGAGGTGGGGGTGGGGGAAGATGGGAAGGGATGGAAGGGGAAACAAAGGAGGAGGCAACAATGCTTGATAAGAAATGTACTCATTATCTTGTCCATGTAATTGTAACCCCTCTGTACGATATTTTCACAAGAAAAAAAAAAGATGAAGGCTGAGACAGAGGGAGAATCTGGTCCCAAAAAAGTCTTAGACTTCAGGTGGATGAGTCTGTTTTTATTCCTTTGGGCATCAAGGAGAAACACAGAATGTTTCTGGGCAAGAGAATGTCTTAGCAAAACTGAAGTATCAAAAAAGAAAAAAGGCTGGCTGAGTGTTGGTGTCTTATGCCTGTAAATCAAGACACAGATTTGAGGATCTTGGTTCCAAGCCCCAGCCCAGGAAGACAAATCTTGAAATTCTTATCTCCAATTAACCAGGGCAGCGGGCAGCTGTGAATGGAGGTGTGGCTCAAGTAGTAGAGTGCCAGGCTTGATTGTGTAGATTACATAGGAGTCTCCCTTGAGTGGAAAAAAATTAAGAACACAAGGCCCTGAGTTCAAGCACTCATACCTACACCCCATTCTCAAAGGATCAAGCGTGCCTCTCTATGACTTAGTAGAAGGTGGAGTCATATAAGATCAGGGATGCAGCAGGACACAGGATGCAGAGCTCTGTGGAAGCATCCAGAGTCTTGTAGAGCATGCCAATGGGAGCACTACTAAGTGTATACTGAGCTGAAGCCCCACAGTGGGAAGCTACCGACACCCCTCCAGGACCCGCTCAGATAGTGAGAGTGGGCACAGAAGGTACATACCAAGGTTGGGGCATTGATAATGGAGAGATTGTAGCCAAACTGAAAAGTTCCACCGATGCCAGCTGCACAGATGGTCAGGAGCAGCACCCTGCTCTGAATCTGAGGAGACAGATGAGGACTCAAGGTGACCAATAACACCCTCCACCTCCTTCTCTGGGCAAGATCTACCAATCACAGTATCACAACAGTGTCTGTACCAGGCAACAGTGTCTCCACTTTATACACAAGTCACCAAGATCACATAGTAGGCAGACAGCAAGGGAATGAAAACCTTCTGCTCTGAATCAGGACGGTCTCTATCCTAGCCTCCCCCTTCCCCTGCCACCATTTTCCTGAAACAGAGAAATTCCTGACCCTCTTCACTGGGCTGCACATGGGTGTGTCTGTTGTAGTTCAGGAGAACAATCTTCTGAGCTGGAAATCCAGTGGAGTTAAGTTCTGATTCTGGTAGCACAGGAGCCCCCAAGTCCCAGCGACTTTTGCCAGGGAAACATCCTTGGCCAACATTTCTGAGTTGAGCTTCCTCTCACCTCTCCTCCCACCAGCCTGGTCTGCAATGAGGCTAAGGAAAGGGACTACATGTTCCTGGGTGCCAGAGGCTCACGCCTGTAATCTTAGATATTCAGGAAGCTGAGAAATGAACATTGTACTTTGAAGCCACCCTAGGCAGGCAAGTCTGTGAGACTCTTATGACCAATAAAACTACAAAAAGCTAGATGTGGAGAGGTGAGTCAATTGGTAGTGGCAGCCTTAAGCATAAAAGCTAGGAAAGAGTAAGAGACCCTTAGTTCAAGTTCCAGTACTAGCAAAGAAAGAAAGAGGACAGAAAGAAAGGAAGGAAAGAAAGATAGAAAAAAAGGAGAGGAAAGGAAAGGTGTTAGTGAATAAGCTTCCTTTCCATTGCTAGTACACCCCTTCCCTCTCCACAGCTTGCGCTCCCTTCCTAGGCAACACTAGGCCTATGTAGTAAAGGCAGTAAATAATCAGCCTCCAACTCCCTTTACCTTGGGACGGCACTTCTCTGGGGCAGCTACCAACATAAAGGCAACAAGAGCCCCTTTGAGTGACCTTCAGGTCTGGGCAGCTACAGGACCCCTTCTCTACTATTTGGACAGCAGCCATAAATCCTAGTCTGCCATGATGAAGCCCCTGGGCCTCATGTCCACGCCTGGATCTCCACCTCTTAGCCCCTCCTAAACCTCCTAGGTTAAATAGGTCACCTCAGACAATAGCCTGTGCTTCTTTTCACTTCTCCCTTGTGAGAAGGGGTCTTGCTAGCACCTTTCCTGGCAATAAACCTTTCTTTGTTCTCTATAACTAGCAGTCTGTGTGGTCTTCTGGCAAAATCTAATAATCTATCAAAAGGGGAAAGGAAAGGAAAGGAAAGGAAAAAGAAAGGAAAGAAAGGAGAAATGAAAGGAAAGGAAAAAGGAAAGGAAAGGGGACAGGAAAGAAAGGAAAGGAGAAAGGAAAGGAAGGAAAGGAGAAAGGAAAGGAAAGGGAAAGCAGTGGAAAGGGAAAGGAAAGGAAGGAAAGGAGAAAAGAAAGGAAAGGAAAAAGGAAAGGGAAGAGAGGGGCATCTCTTATTTCTCCATGTGCAGATACTTGGAGGGCATGTTGAGCAGTGAACAGGCAGCCACAGATGGTGGGGGTACCTGGCACCCTGGGGCAGTTCTGCTCTGACTCCCCCATACTCTCAGAATCACATCCTTGCCTGGACTTGGAGATAATAATGCCTATCTCTGGGCAGACTATGAAGGATATTTGCTACAACAAAAGACAGCTTTGCATGCTAGGGCAAATCCCCTTAGAGATGGGGAGAAGAATTCCCAAGGCACTCAATCAAGAGTACGCATAGATCTGATATTCTATCCCATTTAGTTGTTTCTTTTTAATGTTTTTATTGTTATTATAAAGGTGATACACAGAGAGATTACAGTTACATAAGGTAAAGAGTAGTCTCTTTTTTGACAATGTCACCCCTTCTCTTGCTCTCTCTGTTTTTCCCTCTTATCCCTATAGTTTTTTTTCAAGGATTCACAATATTAGGTCCATTCCCCCACCCCAATTTTAAATTACAATATGACATGTTCAGAGCTGGAGGTAGAGCTCAGTAGTGAAGCTCTTACCTAATGTGCATTAGGAGTTCTTGCTTTAATGTGTGTGTGTGTGCAAGTGTGCACACACACACACACACACACACACAGAGCTATGCTCATCATGGTGGGTTTCTGTTTTATTGTACAGGTGGTGTGATAGGCCATATTGTAGCTCTAACGGTGCCCCATGGAAATGAGAGTTCCCTTAAGACAGCAGAAGTACGGAAAGCCCACATGGCAGGAGATACCAACAGGTCTCCAAGGCTGCAGGAAATTATTTAGTTCAATGAGAGTTTGCATGCAGATCACCTAGAACTATACCCAATGAAGGTAAGTATTCATGCCAGCCCTGAGTTCAAGCCCCAGTATGACGCAAAAACTAATAAGGAGGTAGATAGCTAAGCAGTCAAATATTTGCTATGATGGTGATAATTCAGTGTACAAATATCACTGCCCCCTATTATAGGCAATACATCTACTGCTCTTGGTGTCTTGGCTTTCACAGTGAGCAAGGGACAAAACCTGTGACCTTAGGGTACTTTCTCTTTTCTTACTATTGACAGAATACAGGCTATGGCAGGCTGGTGTTAGGAAGACATAAAATGGGACAGGGGGAGAGGGAGTTTGGATTGAGTAATGTTTTAAATTGGGTGACCAGGAAATAGGAAGATGATATTTGCATAAAGACTTGAAGGAGGTTTAAGAATGTGCCATACATCTATCTGATGGAAGCCAGTCTGATTGGAGAGAACCCACAGATGTGGGCAGCATGAGTATTCTGTTTGCTCCCATTACTTGAGTGAGACAGGATCCAAGTCTGAGCAGTGAAGGTAAGATACTGTCACAAGAAGGAGTGAGCAGTAAGGAACAGAGTGCTCAGACAGCTGCTGTTTGGGACTTGTGTATCCTCCTAGAGGACCTAAGGGGCCTGTGAGAAACACGGGGTGATGCTGGCCTGGGATGTCCCTGGTTGGGCAACCTTATTGGCGCACAGGCCATTGCTGGGCAGGAATATTTGCTTACAATTTTCTGAGCCATTGTACATACAAACACAGATAGTTGTGTCGCTAGGTGCAGGTGGCTCTCAGGAGACTGAGATCTGAGGACCATGGTTTAAAACCAGCTTTGGCAGGAGAGTCTGTGAGACTCATCTCCAATTTATCAGCAAAATACCCGAAGTGGAGCTGTGAGTCAGGTGGTAGAGCGCCAGCCTTCAGTAAAAAGCTAAGGTAAGGGATGAACCCAGGCCTGGAGTTCAAGCCTACAGTACCCTCTTCCCCACTACACGATAGTTTTGCACACTGGACACCATTGTTAAGGCTTCAAGCATGGCTGCAAGCCGTATAGTTTACGCGGGCCTACAATTTGTCATTGGAAGGCCTGGGCCGTATAAACTTTGAATTCTAGAACTTGCCAACTGGCAGGAGGGCCTCTTTCCTGGAAGAGAGACCTGCAGGGCCGTGCTATATCGCACCGACTCTTAGCTTCCTCTGGCCAACAACAGACAAGGTGAAGGAAAGCAACCCAAGTGGGTGAGCGCACCTAGTAACGCGCAGCACAAGCAGAGCGGGCATTGGGGAGGTGCACACAGTAGAAGCAGTGACCGGCACGCAAGCGCATAGAAAAGCTAGACAGCCGGCCTAGCCCGAGGCGCATGCGCAATCGCAACGCGAGCCATTTCCCCTGGGTCACCTGAGTCCTTGGCCTTACTGGTAACTCAGTCTCATCTTCCATGCCGCCGCCGTGTCCGCAGAGCTGAGTCTGAAAAGCCACTCACTGCTTACTCCTGCCGGCTGAGCTCAGAGCACATCTCTGCAGACCGGAGGGAGCTCCCGGGTGAGTGAGGTTAACCCCACTGAGAGGCCCCCGCACGCCACGCGTGGGCGCACCCCTGGGATCCCAGAACGGGTCTCGGCGGGCTCCTGCCCTGCGCCAGCCCGGACCCCACCGGGCGCCCCTGCCCCTCGTGCCCGCAGAGGGCCGAGCCCTGGGTCCCGCGTCCCCATCCTTCCCCCAAAGAGGAGCAGCATTCGGAGGGACTGCAGACGAACTCACCAGGCTCTGGAGCGTTCTCATCAGTAGGCCCGGTGACTAGACGGACTGTAACAGAACCCAGTGGCCGCCGGGCCGCCAGGCAGGCAGGCGGGCGGGCAGGCAGGCGGGCGGGCAGGCAGGCGCGCTCACCGGGACAGAACCTCGCAGCGTCGTGGGCGGGGTTACTGTTGTGATTTTTTTTTTTAAATTCTTCAGGACTTCTCAGGCCCCGCGTGAAACCTGGAGACTGGACAAAGGCTAACGTGCCTTGTGACAGAAGAAACCGAATTGATGGCGACCTTTCAAGTCACCTGATCAAAGAATGATACAGCAGAATAGGCCTGCAAGTCTTTATTGCCTCAGATTTGGTTTCTGTTCGATTTTTTTGCTGTTCAGATCTTTCAATACTTAATACCAATACCATACTTATTAGCTAATTAATGAATTTTGTGCCGGTCCTGAGGGGTAAACCCAGGGCCTGGTCACTCTCCCTGAGCTATTTGTTCTCAAGGCTGGCACCCTACCATTTTTACTTCAGCTCCACTTTTTTGTTTTTTGGCGATTAATTGGAGATGAGAGTCTCATGGACTTTCCTGTGCATGCTGGCTTTGAACCTCCATTCTCAGAGCTCAGCCTCGAGTAGCTAGGATTACAGGAGTGAGCCACCAGTGCCTATCATAATTTATTTTTAATTAATTTGTTTTCTTATTTTGGTAGTAGTGAGTGCTAGGTAAATACATGCTCTCTCACTCAACTACAGACATAATCCTTCCCCCCCAAAAAACACCATGCATTTTAAAGAAAAAAAAACAGCAAAGAGAACAATAGCACTTGTCATTTGTCATAAATGGATATTTTATTACATGCCTTTTCTGCATCTTTTTCTTTTTTCCAGTACTGGGACTTGAACTCATAACCTAGCTTTTTGCTCAAGGCTTTCTGCTACCCACTTGATCTACAGCTTTTTGATAGTTAATCAGAAATGAGTCTCCTGTACTTTCCTGCCCAAGCTGTTTTCACATCTGATCTCAGCCTCCTAAGTAGTTAGAGTTCCAGGTGTGAGCCACTGATGTACAGCTTTCTTCTGCATTTCTTTTTTTTTTTTGTCGGTTGTGGGGCATGAACTTTGGGCCTGGATGCTGTCCCTCAGCTCTTCAGCTCAAGGCGAGCGCTCTACCATTTGAGCTACAGTGCTACTTCCGGCTTCTATTGTTTTTGTGGTGCTGAGGAATCGAACCCAGTGCCTCATGCATGCAAGGCAAGCACTCTGCCACTGAGCCACCTTCCCAGCCCTTTTCTGCGTATCTTAGGATGACTTATGAGTGTTTTAATTAGATTTTGAGATCAATTGTATTAGTAGACTTTCTCACAGTAAATATCCTTAAATTCTTGGGACACATACAGCTTGTCCATGATATTGCTATTGTGGCTATCAATACATTCTTGTGTTTGGCTGTGTATATTTCATTTAGAAAGTTGGTTGTTTTTTTTTCTTTCAAGACAGCCATTGCCATTTCTTCCCTTAATAAGGGGGCATGATGGACTAATAAATTGTACTAGGACAACTGATGTGGGCAACTAAACAACTAACTCACTCCATCCACAGAAATTATTCTAGGTCTGCACAAACTTCATGTGATATGCAAACAAATATTTTAGAAAAAAAAGATTATTTCTGCAACTTAAGTATAAGAATAAAACATATAGTTTTCCTTTGTAGACTTGGCCTCATTAAAATTAAAAATCTGGGGCTGGAAATGTGGCTTAGTGGTAGTGTGTTTGCTTAGCATTCATGAAGCCCTAGGTATGATTCCTCATTATCACATAAATAGAAAGAGCCAGAGGTGGCACTGTGGCTCAAGTGGTAGAGCACTCGCCTTGAGCTGAAGAGCTGAGGGACAGCATCCAGGCCCAAAGTTCCTTGAGCAAAAGAAGCTCAGGGATAGTGCCCAGGCCCTGAATTCAAGCCTTAGGACTGCAAATAAGTAAAATAAAAAGTAAGCTGGACACCGGTGGCTCATGCCTGTAATCCTAGCTATTCAGGAGGCTGAGATCTGAAGATCCTGGTTCAAAGCCAGCCCAGGTAGGAAAGTCTGTTAGACTCTCATCTCCAATAAACTACCAGAATACCAGAAGTGGCGCTGTGGCTCAAGTGGTAGAGCGCTAGCCTTGAGCTGAAGAACTGAGGGACAGTGCCTAGGCCCAGAGTTAAAGCCCTATGACCTACCAAAAAAAAAAAAAAATTAAATTAAAAATCTGTCAAAAGACAAGAAAAATGAAACTAAAAGCTACTAAGGAACAAAAGTATATGACAAAAAAGGTATTAGTATTTAGAATTAGTATTAGAACACATAAAGAATTCCTAAGCTTGGGCTGGGAAGGTGGCTCAGTGGTAAACCGCTTGCCTTGCATGCTCGAGGCCCTGGGTTCGATTCCTCAGCACCACATAAGCAAAAAGAAAAAAGCCGGAAGTGGCGCTGTGGCTCTAGTGGTAGAGCGCTAGCCTTGAGCTGAAGAGCTGAGGGACAGTGCCCAGGCCCAGAGTTCAGGCCCCACGACCGGACCCCAAAAAAAAAAAAAAAGAAGAAGTCCTAAGCTGGACATGTGATTTGAGTGATAAAGTGCCTGCCTCACTTAGTGCAAGCTTGACTTAAAACCCCAGTGCCACCCAAAACAGTAAACTTGTAAAACAAAACAAAACAGAAACAACACCTACATGTCAATCAATTCCTGCATAGTGGTAATCACCTGTAATTCCAGCACTCAGCAGGCTAAGACAGGAGTATCACAACTTTGAAGCCAGTCTGGGCTACATAGCCACGGCTATGTCTCAGAAACAAGAAATAATTCCTAAGTATTAGCAAAAAAAAAGAAAATGGAGATAGGGAATTTACAGATGATGAAACAGAATTGATCGGAAAAAATAATGAAATATGTTGCTATGGCTTGGATATAGTTTATTGCCCTAAGGTTAGTGTGTTAGAAGCTTGATTCTAAGTGTGGTAGCAGGGAAATAGAATCTTTAAGATATGGTTTCTAACTACTCAGGAGGCCGAGACCTGGAGCATCTTGTTTCAAAGCCAGCCTGGGCAGAAAAGTCCTCAAGACTCCAACTCCAATTAACTCTCCAAAAGCCAACTTGGGTTCCCTAAAAAAAACCCATCACCTTTAAAAGCGATACAGGTATATAGTATACTGTAGTCTACTTAGAAAGTAGAAATCAGGAGGATCATGGTTCCAAGTTAGCCTGGGTGAAAAGTGAGATCTCATTTCAAAAGTAAGTTGGGTATAAAGATATAATATGCCTGTGATTTCCCTGCTACACAGAAAGCAGGAGGCAGTAGATAGCTCTGGCCAAAAAAAAAAAAAATGCTGGCTCACCAGTGGCTCATACCTGTACTATTAGCTACTCAAGACGCTAAAATGTGAGAATCTCGGTTTCCAGTCATCCCAGTTAGGAAAGGCCCTGAGACTCGTATCTCCAATTAAATAGCAAAAACCTAGAAATGGAGCTGTGATCCAAGTGGTAGAGTACCAGCCATGAGTGAAAAAGCTAAGAGGCAATGCCCAGGTCCTGACTTCAAGTCCCTCCCCACAAAAAGGCTGAGGGTATACTCAAGTAGTAAAGTAAGTACCCTAGTTTTTGTTTGGATTTTTAATTAAAAGGAAAAAAAATGGAGAAATAAATTATATTTTATTTATTTATTATATTTTATTTAGTTATTTGTCAGTCATGGAACTTGAACTCAGGGCCTGGGCACTGTCTCTAAGCTTTTGTGCTCAAGGCTAGCACTCTACTACTTTGAGCCACAGTCCCACTTTTGGTTTTTAGGTTGTTGGAGATAAGAGTCTCATGGCTTTTTCCTGCCTGGGTTGGCTTCGAACAACAATTTTCAGATATTAGTTTCCTGAGTAGCTAGGATTACAGGCTTTAGCCACTTGCACCCAGCTTTATAGTATATTATTGTATGTTGCTAGTATATAATAGAACACCTCCTTTGGGACTAGACAAGAAGAAGTATATCAACATGGGTGGCTTCTTGGATCTCTCTGAAATGCCTCCTGAATGCCTAAGCCCATCTTACCTTTCTAGAGTCAGAGCTTTACTTTGGGCATGACTAGTCCCCAACCAAGAAAAGAAGCTAGTTCTTTTGGTTGGTTTTTTGTTTTGTTTTGTTGGTCATGAGGCCTGAACTCTGGGCCTGGGCGCCGTCCCTCAGCTCTTCAGCTCAAGGCTAATGCTCTACCACTTGAGCCATAGCTCCACTTCTGGCTTTTTCTGCTTATGTAGTGCTGAGGAATCGAACCCAGGGCCTCATGCCTGCAAGGCAAGCACTATACCACTGAGCACCTTCCCAGCCCAAGAAGCTGGTTTTGTCCTGGCAAATATGAACTAGGAGTTTATCTTAGAATGAAGTGCAAGTCATAGCGGTATTTGCAGCAGCCTGGTCTTCCCATTTGCCCCTATGAGACTCCAGGTGCTGATGTCTAGTCCTTTCAACAAGCATAGGTAAGTGCTATTCCTCTTACAGAGGACACCTCTGAGACTTTGGAAGGTCAAGCATGTGAACTATGACCTGCCTGAAAATGGAAGCTGATTTTCAGATGGCCAAATCTGGCCTGTCCAACCCCCCATCATTGGGGGGCAGTGGAATGGCCTCACACCAGCTAACAAGTGTACCAAGACTCCAACTTTTTGCTTCCTACATCTG